TCCTAAACAACTATTGTTTAGTTTGGCAAGTTTATCCCATCTATGCCTCAAATCTCTTATGTTTAGGCGACCTTTATGACATAATAAATTTATCAAATCATCCATTTAAAAAAACATGTGAGTTCTATTTCACAAATGGTTAGGTGACATTTATCCCATAAGCAAATACAAAAGCACCTTAACTATTTTTGACAACTAAAATGAATAAGGTGACCCTAAAATCCATATGAACTGCACAAAAATCCTAAGTGAATCTTAAATGGATTGCATAGATTTGAAGTTTTGTAAATAAGGGTATGTATATGTTTTACCGTTATAGTTTATAAAAACATGATCTCATGAATATTGCATGCATCCAACAATTCATGTACCCTTTTGTAAAATTCATATCACTTTTTATGGGGTTCTTTTGGTTCCAAATAAAACTTCATTTTATTTTCCATTAACCTCGATCAATTATAAACTAAAATCCGGTATTTTAAAGTTTAGTCGTAGATCGGTTCTAAGAACCGTTAACAATCTTAATAAACCTTTATTTTATGGTTAAGACTTGGAGTTTTGGATGAGTTATAAAATAATTATTTTAAATCTGCTTTTAACATTAAAAAACTTATGACTTCATGAATTTATAAAATAAAGTCATTTTATTTTATAAACTCAATTTTATGCATCTTATGATGAAAGTCATATTTTGATAAACAAAACTTGGGTGATGATACTTAAGTTTTAAATCTTATTTAGCATGCATAAAACATAATATCAGCATGTTGCGTTATGCTTAAAACACCAATATCATATATTAAGTTTCGACGTAAAAATAATCTCTAGTTTTATTATTTGTCGTTATAACGCTATAAACCGATTTTAGTCTTTTTAATAAAAACTCATTATTTATTATAAAGACATTGAGTTTATATAAAGTTTAAACATCTTTTAAACCATTTCAAATATTTTAAACTTGGGTATTTATAAGTTTTACAATAAAACTATTTTCAACAAAATTGAGTTTTAACCGGTAAACCGGTAACCGGTAAAACGTTTTTATAAATATTCATTTATAAACATCTTATGTTATCTTTTAAATACTTTTTACTCAAACTCCAAGTGATATTATCTTATGAAAAAATGTTATTTGACATGTAAAAACCATTTTCATACATAAAACATAACATGCATTTAACATAAAATAAACATCACAAGCATGCATTATAATGTGTATAAACCAAACCATGTCTAGTAATAATTTTTGTGAGTCGTCACAAGAATTATTAAGCCTTTCCTAAAGGACTTAAGGGACACTTCAAAAGGTCCTCAAGGTGGTAATTTCTTCATCTTGTTACATTTAAAGTAAATACAACTAGTCTAACTAATTTATTACATCAAATCAACAAATGAAAAATACCTATTTATCTATTACATCTTATGAATAAATAAATATCAACCAAACACAACACAAAGGTCCAAATGGATTGTTTATACACAACAACATATCAAATATTATAACAAACAACTCTTTGTTTTTTCTAAGGCAACTTTTATATAACCAAAATGCATGAAAAATGGTTATATATAAAATTAAACAATTTTAACCAAGAAGTTGCCAAAGAAGACAAATATAAATTTTTCTTAACCAAAAGAAATTCGTGCTTGTTTTCCAAAAACCAAAGATTATCAAACATAAAAAATCATTCTAACATATAAAATATGGCTTTGATACCACTGTTGGGTTTTGATACGAAATAAAATATTGTTTTTCATAAAAACCGGTAACGGAAGACTTTAAAACTTGGAGCACAACACCTGCAACAGTGAATCAACACTGCAACAGTGAATCAGGGAGCAAATACTGGAGCAGGACATGGTAAAGGAAGAAAGTGTTTTGAGTGTGGAGAGGTTGGACATATCAAGATAGAATGTCCGAAGTTAAGGAGTCAAGGAGGCATAGGACGTGGTAGGGCGTTTGTGATCGGAAGCAGAGAAGCTATCCAGAACCCTTCGGTCGTATCTGGTACGTTTCTCATAGATAATTTATATGCTACCATACTCTTCGACTCTGGAGCATCATGGATCCATTTATAGAGGTAACCTTTGAAGCCTTTAAACCCACTTGGTTTTGGGGTGTTGATGAAGATAACAAAAGATCAAAGTGTATGATTTTTTCTACAAGTATCCACCATCAAGAGTAAGGCACTTGGAATGATAGTTCCTTCTTGTATTCTTGAGTGTCTAAAGCTTTTAAGTGCATAACTCAATTAAGCACTAAAGGGAACAACTCAAGAGGTCTTCTAAACACGAAACTAACTTCAAGAGAGAGAGAGAGAGAGAGAGAGAGAGAGAGAGAGGAAGAAGAGAAGAAGAACCCACGGTTCTAGAGAGAAAAGAGAGGAAGAAGAAGAGATTCACTCTTGCAAAAATACAAGCCTCATGCGTCTCTTATATAGCCCATGAAAAGTAAGGCCTAACCATTAAAATAATCTAAAGTAATGGTTGCCTTTAGAAGCATGAAAAACAAAAGGTGGAAGGTTGAAAAACAACCTCCCACACAATCATTATGCCTTTTAAAAAGTAAGATTCTTTATTTTTTTATAAACTCCAAGTTTATAAAATATAACTTTGTCTTTAGGTAAAAGACAAAAGAATCCAACTAGTCCAAATTGTTGTGCATGACTTATTAATTCATACCATATGAAATAATAACTAGTAATACTCTCTTATAATTATTATTTTCACAAAACAATAATTATTCCCTAATTAAAATACAAGAATCGATATTATTATTAATAATCATATTATAATAAATATAGAAAATGGTCCAACTTGATAAAGGTGTGACCCTATATGATCATATATTATTAGCAATATCACTCCATAATGATTCTTGGGTATATAGATCCAACAACCAGTTACATATTTTTCCATGTCTACTGGGTGGTATGAGCATCATAAAAGTATTGGACTATTTTCTAATTATGTTTAACGTTAAAAATTAGATTATACCTTAAATAAACATTTACACACATACACCCACCTACGCACCCCCAAACACACATAGATACATACATACATACATACATACATACATACATACATACATACATCCATACATATATACATACACACACATACATACACACACACCACATCGATATATATATATATAGATATATATATCGATAGATATATTATATATATATATATATATATATATATCTACCTATCACTGTTGTTAAAATCCCGAGTAGGTCTCGATTAATCTCCGATTAACCCCTAGGCACTACCTGACCGACTAGCATGCGCCTAGCGATTAATCGTTGCCTAAAAAATGAGCGAAACAGTAGCAAACGATGAAATTTTAACACTTTGAATAAGTTCTATACCAATAGAACCTATTTGATGAATGATTAGTGTTGTATTAATCTTATTAACCTATTTTGTTATGATATTACTGATATTTACGAAATTTGTTATGATATTAGTCATATTTAATTTTTTTTAAATTCAATTAAATAGCAGTTTAATGTCCCCGATAATCCCCGAATTAATTTCCGTCTAGACGATTAATCTTTTAACCTCATTCTATCGACTAGTTAACGTCGATCGTTTTTTACAACCTTGCTATATATATATATATATATCTATATATATATATATATATATATATATATATATATATATATATATATATATATATATATATATGCTTAGGTTATTGTGTTCATATTAAATTTTTTAAAATTCAATTAAATAGCAATTTAATGTCCCCGAATTAATTTCCGCCTAGCCGATTAATCCTTTAACCCCAGTCTATCGACTAGTTAACGTGGATCGTTTTTTACAACCTTGCTATATATATATATATATATATATATATATATATATATATATAAGCTTAGGTTATTGTGTTCTATTTAATTATTGTGTGAATGTAGGGATGAATGTGGACTAATTGTTTTAGTTATTTAAGTAAATGATTTACCTATCTTTAAATTAGGAAGACACATGTTTAAATTAGGAAACACATGTTTAATTAATAAAATTTTCGGATTTTAAAGGATATTGATTCTTTTAATTTTGAATTCTATTTTTTTTAATTAATAACTTTTTAATTCTAACTTAATTTTTAATTTTACTCGATTTTATTCTTTTAGAATGCAATTCTATTATAATGATATTCGATTAAAATGTCATAATATATTCTGATAGAGTACATATTTTTATTGAAGGAACTTCTTGTAGAAAAACAACATTCTTTAGCCTTCAGTTGAAAAATAACATGATCCTTATATATATTCAAACATTGAAATGAAAATATAGATGCATACATATTCTTACAGAATAATAGTCTTATACATTTTAATACAATTATACATATTCTAACAGAATGTCATAAAAATATATAAAGTTCTTAAGAACATAACATTCTTGAATATACAATTCTTGAACGAATACACATGATCCTCTTCAATGGTCCATAGTCAATTTCATTTCAACAATTCTTACAAGGATGGCCTTCCGTTTTGTGCTCTCGCTGTCATGAAATTGAATTATGTAAGAATAACATTCTGTGGGAATGTTTATATGACAAATAACATTCTATGAGAATGTTTATATGTAAGAATACCAGCTTGGTTACCTACTTAATCGGGGAAAAGGCGAAGAATTTACCAACTAGAATTCAAAAAGCGAATATGTGGATTTGATTTGTACATAATTACTTTGAATTAACTCGGAGAAAAGAGAATATGTATTCCTTATTATACACCAAATCTAACTCCCCAACAACAACATACTTTACTGGAACACTTGCTTTAACATTTGTCCATGGTGCTTCCAGCTCCCAGTCTCTACAAGTAAGATAATCAAGATTTCAATTTCCAGAAACAAATAAAGGGTAGTGATTTGAATTTTCAAATAATTGTAAAGGAACAAAAAGGTCAACACAACGGTAGTAGTTTAGTCCTCCTATAAAGTCAGTTTGCTCGATTTTTTTGGTGTAATAATCAACATCTTTCAGATAGCCATGATGGCAAGATGACAGGAGTATCATACAAAGCTCCAAAGGGCTTATCTGCAGGGAAATAAAAAGGATCACGGTCCCTGTATGTCAAGAATTTCTCAATAACTTTCTTGGTTCCATAACTAGCAAACACAACTTCCATTTCCCCTGGTTCCTGCAACAAAGTTAAAAACGAGAGTAAAAAAGACTGAGCCCAAAGAGATGAAAATAAGTTATGATTCTTGACATTAGGGTAAGAGTTTTTAATTCGTAACAACAGAAGCGATAAATCAGCATAGCTCAAATTAATAGGTTTGACAACATTTTCCCATCAAAACCAAGTGAAACGAAGAACAAATGTCACCTGAAATCTGCAAATGTAGTGATCATCTCCGTATGCAGCACGGACATTCTCTAAAATTTTCCGTTTAGGGTTTCTTGGGGTAAAGTGAACGCTCAAATTGACCAAGGCTTTAACTTTGTCAGGTCTAAACAAACACAGGCGCCAAGCAATCAAGGCGCCCCAGTTATGCCCGACAAAAAACACCTTATCGGCACCAAGAGAATCGATGAGTGCGACCATGTCGCCAACAACGTGAAGTGTAGTGAACTTGGTAGGATTGTCGATAGGTGCACGGTGGTGTCTCCGTAACCACGGAGGTTCGTTAGGCGGAGCTTGGTGTCACTGGTATTACGCAGAGGAAGCAGTGGCGAGGAGGACGATTAATTAGTGACGAAGACAAGGAGAAAGTTGACCGACGATGTAGAGGGAAGAAGAAAGAAGCGGTTGTCTGTGTGAGGAAGAAAGAGGCCGGTTTAGTTCACTGGCGTTGGTCTTGTTACGGTGGATGCATATTTTAATAGGGTTAATAAGAAACTGATCCCTGAAAAATAAAGGGATATCACAAGTTAATTTAGGAAATTAATTAATATATTTGTATATTACTAATATATCTTTATTTATTTATTTATTTAATTATTATTTTTTTGAAAATTTGATTGGACCACAATTAATCCTACATCCACACGATAGATAGTTATAATACTTGAACATACCTCTCTCTCTCTCTCTCTCTATATATATATATATATATATATATATATATGTGTGTATGTGTGTGTGTGTGTTTATTTTAATTGTAACTTACTTCTTTGTGAAAAGCGCTACTAAACAAGCTCGTTGCACTACAGTTCATGCTCACTTGGTTTCCACGATTTACTTTCTTTTTTTCACTAAATGCTTTTTATATGTTTCCGTATTGAAAAAGTCTATGATTTTCTCCATGTTTGAATAAGCGAACTGGGGGAAGGTAGCCCTTTATCTCTCGATATCATCATAGTCCCACACCCGGACGTGTTTATGCACATCACTTATATCCTCTATAACAATTAGAAATCATATATTTAAGGCCTTCCCTGTTAGATATCTACCTGATAATACCTGATGGAACCTTGTTGCCTAAGAAAAACAAAACAGAACAGGAAGGAAGAAGTGAACAGGGAAAAACAGGGTGTGAATCAATACACTTGATTCTATGAATACGCCACACAAACAAGGCAAAGAAATCACACTAGGAATTTAACACTTTAACATCGATCAATTCACTTGATTCCTTTATAGGATAGAGGTTAGTTGTGCAGAAGATGAACAGAGCATGAACGAAACAGGGGATGAAAGAAATCTGGGAAAATTACTTGTTCTCTAAGTTTTATTACTGAAAAGACTGGAAAAACTTAATTAAAAATGTCACACAACCACACCCTATTTATACTAAACTAATTGTAATCCTAAACTAACTAAAAACCTTAAATTAGGGAAGTTTTCCTAAAATAGACTTGGGACCAAAACCGTCCCCGGTTCTGAATTAACCCAACATTCTCCTCCTTAATCAGAAATGGTCACCATCTTCACCTTCAAAATGATCAGACTCCTCCTCAATATCAAACTTCTTTAGGACACCATTCACTTTGTGATGTTTTTATCTTTTTCCTCATCCGCTTCTTCTTCTTCATAGCCTTCTGTTTCAAAAATATCAAAAGATCATCATCATCTTCATTGTTCTTATCAGTGAGCTTTCTTTCTTCATCATCATTGTTCCTTTCTTCTAAATTCTCAGAGATCAGATCCGTGCATTTTTTATCAGGAACATATTTTTCATTTTGGGTATGCCAATTTCCATTGTTTTGAACATCCTCTTCAGTTGATGATTCATACATCTCATGCCTAGCTTTCCTCTTTAAAAACCTCCTGTGAGTGCTTCGACTAGCAGTAGGGAGTCAATCATCTGCATTTATCACATCTGCCACATTTATGATCTTATTAGTATCATACACTTCAGTGTTCTTAACAACTTGTTCTTTTTTACATGTGATTTTGCCAAGATGATTATTTACATTCTGAGCAATGCCATTATTCTTCATTAGCATCATAAGAGGATCAATAGAGGATCCATTCTTGAGATTCGCTTCATCTTTATCAGATTTAACATTAGGATTCCATACTGTTGTAGAGGCATTAACGATGCCCTTAGTTTCCAATACTAACATTGATACATGTACTCCCTTATTTTCTGGACTTAATTTTTCTTTCTGAACTTTCTCAACTTCATTACCCAGGTCAGATTTAGGAGAGATGGCAGCTATTTTATCACCCTCCAAATTAGTGTCACCTATAACATCCTTAACCTCAAGCGCAACCACTTCATCGACTACCAATGAGTACTTGTTTCCAGCCAGTGTACATAGTTCTCTGTGAACTATCTTTTCTTCCAAGCATCCTTCATACAAACTTGTGGTGACTTCAATCTTCGGTTCTTCACAAACCAAACCGTCTTTGGATATTTGATTGAGTATAGGTTCCTCAACTTCATTAAGTAAACACCGTGCTTCGATTTCATCCAAAGCAATTTTCTATAAATGATTTTGAGACTGTCTTACTTTCATGAGTAGCTTGTTTCTTTTATCATATATCCATAGAAAGAATCCATACATAATGATACGATCACCGTTTTGTGCGAGTTGACCCAAGCTAATAATATTACTACATAGTTTTGGTATGTAATATACTCCTTGAAGCATCTGTTGCTCACCATTCTTACACCGAAATATAATTGACCCTTTTCCCTCAACTCGTACCTTTGAGCCGTCTCCAAACTTCACATACCCTTGAACCGCTCGGTTAAGCTTATGGAATTTGTCTTCATCCTCGGTCAAATGGTTACTTGTGCCATTATCAAGATACGACATCTATGAGTTGTTTTGCTCTTTCCCTTCCATTTTTAGCTTTAGGTTCACTTTTTCTTCATTTAAGAACACTTCATCTTTGGGATCACTATTGTGGAGTACTGCTATTAGTAACGCCGGTTCTTCATCGATGCGACCTTGGGCTAAGTTTTCTTCGTATTTTTGTCTTTATCGTCTTGTGTTCTTGCATTCTGCAACATAATGCCCAAATTCTTGGTAATTGTAACATTAAATGTGACTCTTTTCTCGATTATCGTTCGTACTACGAGTGCCTTCACATTCCTTTTTGTTGTTGCCTTGATCTCATCCTTTTCCCCCACAGTTATTATTGTTGTTTCGCTGCTTTGATTTCGAATCTTCTTGGTTCTGTTTCTTGGCTTGTTCGTCCCATTCTTCGTGTGTCAGCAATAATTTTTTCTCATCAGGTTCTTGGTGAACCTTGATTCGAATTCATGCGCCTTCAATCTTCCTACCACTTCTTCAAAAGTCATAGTGTCGAGATCACCGAATTGTTCAATTGTAGACGCCAGTTGAACGAACTTTGAAGGTACGACACGTAGTTACTTATTTACTATGTAATCTTCTTCTATCACTTCGCCGAGAGCACGGATATTACTCACGATATTCCCAATCTTTGAAGCAAAGTCATCCACTGTTTCTGATTCACTCATGTTCAACATCTCAAATTTAGCTTTGAGAGTTTGAACCTTGGCTATATTAACTCGATCTGCTCCCAAGTACATCGTCTTGAGTGTTTCCCAAGCTTCTTTTTCCGATTGCTTCTCCGCTATCGTCAATAGAACCTCCTCCTAAATCGCTTAGTAGATGGAAGCCATTGCCATATTGTCTCTCTTCACACCCACCGGGTTTTGTGGGTTCTTCGGCTCAATCACTTCCCACACCTCTTCCGCTTGCATGTAAACCTTCATCTTAGTAGACCATGCTGCGTAATTAGTCTTAGACAACATTGGGTATTGAAGTGTAACCGATCCTTCCTTGTTCGACATCGCACCAGATTCTCTCTAATACCAAATGTTAGATATCTACCTGATGATACCTTCTTGCCTAAGAAAAACAGAACAGCTAAGGAAGGAAGAAGTGAACAGGGAAAAACAGGGTGTGAATCAATTCACTTGATTCTATGAATACGCCACACAAACAAGGAAAAGAAATCACAGTAGGACTTTAACACTTTAACATGGATCAATTCACTTGATTCCTTTATGGGACAGAGGTTAGTTGTGCAGAAGATGATCAGAGCATGAACGGAACAGGGGAGGAAAGAAATCTGGGAAAATTACTTGTTCTCCAAGTTTTATTACTGAAAAGACTGAAAAAACTTAATTAAAACCGTCACACAACCATACCCTATTTATACTAAACTAATTGGAATCCTAAACTAACTCAAAACCTTAACTTAGGAAGTTTTCCCAAAATACCCTTGGGACCAAAACTGTCCCCGTTTCTGAATTAACCCAATACTCCCAAGACTTTGTATACTTAGTATGCTTAGTAACCTATTGAAGATCGAATATAGCTACAAATAAATAAAAGTTAGCCAAGTAAAAAATTAATATGAAGAAACAATATGAGATATATTTATATAAACTGTTTACCGTGAGATGATCGAACATGGAATTTTTCTTGGCATCAGAAACGTTTGCTCAAAAATTGTTTATTTAAAAAGATAGCCCGCCAAATATGTTTGCCAATCTCGCGAATAAATAGATCATGCATCTCATCAACAATTATGTAAGTAGCAGTGGTGCTGTCTTTGTCAAACACTAGAGGCAAAAGTCGCTTTCTGTTTCTCTCCTACATGATTATGAGATTAAGGTTTTTAGTCATACCATTTCGGTATGACTATAACTAAAATGAAAAAAATATTAGTCTAACATATATAAACTATAATAAAGATATAAATATTTTAAATAAATAAATCATAATAAGACTTATCTTCCTGCTCATGGTGACCACGGCGTCGACCACCTGGAAGTGGTAAATGCTCACAACCATCTCTATCAAGTAAAAATGAACAATTCAAATGAATGTCATATCCAATACAACACCAAATACAAATCAATTTAATTAATTACAATATATAAACAAAATATCCAAACATACATTTCATAAATTTCTACTAATCTAAATTTTAAACACATCCAAACATATATTTCTACTAATCTAAACATATCCAAATGTACACTTCATAAAAGTCTACTAATATAAGCTTATCCAAATATACATTTCTACTAATCTAATTAAGCGTATCCAAACATACATTTCATAAACTTCTATTAATCTGAACACATCCGAACATACATTTCTACAAATCTAAGC